TATAGACATCATGGTATTCAAATGCTGATGACTGATGATCACCTAGAGCATCAGGTCATTGTGATGGTTACAGGGGCTCAAAGCACCAGACTGGAGATAAATACAAGACTGCTTCGTGGTTACTTATTATAAATTTGTGTATAGCCGCTCTGAAAAATTTGCAGCTAACTCCTTCATTGGAAAGATGACAGTGCAAGAATTATTAGAATTGCTCATTAAAGAAATACATATCTTAGGAATGAAAAACCAACAGAAAATGAGAAGAAACAGATGGGAAAGATGGAAATAGATTGCCTCAACCTTTAGCCCTGTGTCAGGAATTTATTCTGTCAGGAATTTATATATATTCTGCCTTTGAAAACATTTGGCTTAGTCCTCTGACTCAGATTTTCAGAGGGCTTTTATAATCCTTCAGTAGCGCACCTGTCGGTTAATCCCTTGTTATAATCTATCTTGGATCACCTCACGGGGAGCAGAGCTGATGGATATGCTCCCAGCCCTCTGTGGATTGGCAGGATGAATTGTTCTTTGGATACTGAGGAGGATGCACTGGAGGTCAGGACAGCTGTGACATGAGCTGGCACTAGACCAGGGGACATCTCTTCCCAGATAAAGCAGAGGATCTGTGATACCTCCCTGCATCCTGCTTTGAGGACACATTATATGCATCTATTTCCTATACACACTGCATACTCTGTTGGTTTTTTTCTTTCCTTGCTTTCTAAGCTTGCTTTTCACACTCTCCTTTAGCAACACATAATAAATTAACCTTGCAATGTTTTGCCATGACCAGGCCAAAAGCTACAAGTAAGCCTAAGTGGCTTGATTCTAAAAGAAACAAGTCTTACTCCAATGTAATAAAGGTGTTAAAAATGCAGTGAACCTGTGAGCTTCCACTGCCTAAATCACCTCAGACATTCTGCGCTTTCATGGCTTTTGGTCTTTTTCTTTCCCTTTCTCTCCCTGTGTTTTTAAAAGAAATGCAAACATACATTCATAACAATCGAAGAGCTGCTGTTATTTTTTTTTCCTCAGAAAGGACAGGTGATAGCATTTTAGTGAAAGTCAAGCTGAGGTAAAATATACAGCTACACTGATGTAGAGACAAGAAGAAATACCAACTGGAGATTTCTCTTAAGGTTTTATCTTCCCCTCCCCTTTCCATTTTTCCTCCCCTTCCTTAAGTTTAAAAAAAAAAATAAATACTTGCTTACATTGCAGAGAGCAGCTTACATTGCCAACATAAGTTTCTAGGAACAGAAGCCAAACCCTGTATTACTGGAAAATAATAGTAAGAAGAACAAATAGGTGTGCACAGACTGTAACTACTTCAACTCCTTCCAGATGTAGTCCACGCCATAATTATCTCTCAACAGAGTATTGTGACAAACATTAAAATTCCTGTCTTCTCATACCCATCTGCAGAGCGTTGTTTTAAATTTTGCAACTCGTAAGGTTTGTAGCACCGTATCAGACATCCCTGTTCACTTTGCAGGCTGCAAACACCAGAATTTGTGGATAGCTTCTTAAAGACATGATAATGAGGTGCTCTTCCATAAAATCTACTGAACAAAGTAACTTTTTTTTTCCCCCCTTCTGGCAGTACCTCAGACATAACAAGATGGTAATTACAGGGAAAGTGGATGTGTAAATGGTGATTCACTGTGTATAAGGTGAACATTTGACACACTACAACCTAAAATAACACTTTTTACCCTCTGGACTACAGATTTGTCCATAGGTTATTTTTATCATCATTTAATAATTTTTTATTTTTTTTTTTTTAAACAGATAGTAAAATTGCTTTGAAAAAGGTAAAAGAGACAAAACGTAAGAAATTTCCTAAAAATCTAGCTGGCCTACAGAAAAGGCCATGTCTGAGTATCACTGAACAGCTACCGAGGATGCGTCGCCTGATACTCCGGTACCTCCCCAACAACATGGGAATGGCCCAAGTCCCCTGTATTCCTTCTGAAGCTGTTTTGTTTATGAAACTTCATGCTCTTGTTACAAAAGTAAGCATTTGCGGCTACAGCAGAAAGCATCCCATGGATCCATGGGGATATGAGTCTTTACAACTTTGCTTTCTTAGACTATCACTTATAGGTGATTATCACTTATTAGAAGTGACAGGATTCTCTTAGGAAAAGATAACAATTTGGGTTTTTTTCTCCAAAGTGCTTTTGGGTAGACGCTTACTTGTTTTACACTCCTTACAAACATTCAGCATTGGTTCCTTTCTACTTCATTTTTTAAAGATTTAATCCCTCATTTAAAGCTATCAGACTTCTAAAAGAAAGACCCCTCATGAGTGAATTTGTTGCCAGCACTCTTTAAATAGGAGCACATTAAAATCAAAGTTTTGGCTCCTGGCACAGTGTCTTAATGGCAAACGGCCTTCTCGGGGCTCTAACTCATTCAAGCTGGAACATCCACAGTGCTACGGGTGGGGATGGAGCGTCAGGAAAGTGTTTGGGGAAGAAAGGCAGACCTTTCCTCTGTGTCCAACACCCTCTCACGAAAAGCATGAAATCTGCCCTTGGCCGCAACCTCAGAAAGAGGTTTGCTTGCTTGTTTCTTCCCAGTTTCCTTTTTATATGAGAAAAGGAGTGCTCTGCAGTGATGCAAACAGGAAAGGATTGCTCTCCAGAGAAGCGTGACTACTCTCTCCTAATAATAACAGAACAGGGAAGCAATCTAAGCATTTACAAGAATTTGGAGCAGAATGCAATCCAGAGTCTTAGATCGGATACACTCAGTTGATCTCTTGCAAATATGTCCACTTCCATTTGGAGGTGAAACCCAGTTCTCAGACAAGCATTTCTGAAGGGACAGCATTTGTTCATATAGATCTGAGGTGAGAAATCAAGGCCGTACGTTCCTTAATAACATTTTATTGGGATAGTCCAGTGTTAACTGCACAATGCATAAAGCAATACCAGGCCACCGGGAACAAAGCTGATCCTCTTGCTTGTCTAGACACTGACTTTATCTAAAGGAATGTGCATGTATAGAGGGGAAAATCCCAACAAACCAGAAAGGTAAAAGCATAGCTTTATGGGTTTTGAGTGTACTTCACACCTCAAACGCATCACATAGCCTAATTTTAGCACTGCAACTGCTATCAAACATTCTTGAAAATATTGACACCTGCTGCAGGATTGACTGTTTAATTACTACTCTAAAGCAGTACATTAGAGTCTGGAAAGAAGGTTCTTCCTCCTCTCCCCCAAGCTAAGGTTTTGGGTTTTTTTCACTGAGGAATAGAAAGTATTTATTAAAACATGAACAGTAAAATCAGTTAGAGATTATAGTCCCAAAACAAACAAACAGGAGCCTCAGAAAACCAAAGTATTTTAGCAGAAATGTGCCTTAATTCACTTCCAAAGGTGAAACCAGCAGACAGTTACTGAAATAGCATCAGCCACACTATTCAATGTTTCAGTAATGCCACAGCTTTCCAGTTAAAATCAATGCTAACTTCAAGAAAAGCATCTGTTGCCTCAGGAAAAGAAAACACAAGATTCCTACCAGAGATCCTTTTTAACTTTCTTTGGTGACTTCAGAGAACCATATTCCTCACCTGCTGAGACCTTTTCTATTAACTAGGCCAATTCTAAAATAAAATGAACTATTCTTATTTCTACATTCCCCTTCTAGCAAGTTCTATATATTTACACTATGCTTTGCCTGGTTTTATAACCTAATAACAAAAATGTGTCTATGTTCAAGATCTAAGCCAAAGAGTCAAGAACTAAAATGCAGAGCTCCCCTCAAAGTTCAAGAGAGGGCCTTGAACCAAGGACCAAGGCCAAGGTTTATCTGAAACCCGATTCATACTCAGTGACTTCTGGTGCTTGTGGAAACAGCATCTGCATGTTCTGCAATAATGAAAGTGCAGTTCTAGTAGAAAAGGATACAGCATCCAAAGTAATTTAGATTCTACCTTCTTAAGCCTATTTCAGATTTACAATCATCAAACAATTTTAAATAAGAGGTCCTTGAAAAAGAAGAAACAACTCTAAATATTCCCGTCACTGTTTCTTTCCTGCATCTGCAGTATCTGATTAGTCAAAACTCAAATTAACTGACCTAAAAGTTGCTGTACGTTATTGTCACACAGCAGCAGATATGTTATACTAGGGTGGTACATGATGACTGCATTTTTTTATTTACTGCTGCTTAGCTTGTTTCTCTAAAACCCTTGAACTATACACGTAATCCAACCTACCACCATTTGTATGCATTTATTGAATGTGAAGGAAAGAAAAATCAGCCTATGCTATTTTTAAATGATTTTTTTAAAAAAATTTGAATGTCCTCTCATAGATTTCTCCATATTTCTTTTTTCTAAATATTGAACAGCTTGTCTTTTTCTTTCTTCAAATATCATGCCCACGTCTTCCACAATGACAACCATAAAGCAGCCAACTAATAGTGATGGACTGCCTTAACATTACAACAAAGCAAGTGACAAACTTTTATAATAACCCTTTCTCTCCAGCTCTTCAGGCAGTATTAATTTGCATGCAAATTAATAAACTAAAAATGTGGAAGCACAACTCAAGGGAGCTAAGACAATTTCATGTTATTCTAGCAAGTTTGCTTGAGGAAAACATACTTTTTCCCCACCTTGGGCATTCAGGAGTCTTGCTTGCTTGCCTTCTGGATAGAAAATGTTGCCCAAACCCTATTTTTCCCTGTTGGAGTCACAGCAGCGTGTTTGAGAGTTACCAGAGCTGCAGGAGTGTAATCATAGTTGTGGACCTCAGCTCACAGGCTAAGGGTTGTGCTAAGGGCTGCACAGCAGTATTCCTCTTATCAGCACACTAATATCCAGTCACAGTCAAAAGCTTTGGGTCACCGTTATTTAACACAGTATAAAAAGATTTGCAAGCCGAAACGACCGAGGAGACATCTGATATGAAATATCACTGTTTAAAATAGTAATAATAGGAAAAATTGAGTTAGCAATAAGTGACATTTAAGGTCTTACTTACCATAAATTCCTGTTGAAATACAGGGAAATGCCTGTAAAACGAAAAGAAAAAAAAAAATCAGTGGGATTTCTGTTTGCTGAACTTTTTATCAAAACCAAGGGTATTTTCAAATGCCTCTTTTTCAACACCCAGAGATTACATGTTGTAGCCTTCACTGTTACAGCATTGAATTCACAGGCGTTTTCATGTAACTATATGAAACATATTCCATATGTTTTCCTTGCTGCCATGTTAATAAAGCCACATTCTTTTTCTCGTCTTGAGCTGTGAGCAACATTTGAACCCAGAATCATTAAAACTGCCTTTTGAGCTAAAAATTAATGCCATGAGCTAAAAATTAATGCCATAAGTTAGCACAGGAGAAAAAAAAAAGTCATATTCTCTGGGTAGAGTGAGACAATGTTTCTTCAGTAGTAAAATAAGCTTAGTCAATTTAAACCTTGCCCTGCCCTCCCCTGCCTCTTTGCCTTGCCCTCATTCACTATAACCTCCTTTTTTTGTTTCAGAGCCTTTCATTTTTAACCTCAGTTCTTTCAGACATGTGGTTTGCAGTGTGACCCAACACAGCTGTATTGGTACAAGTCAAAGGCTTGCAAACTGGTGCAGGGAGAGGAACTAGAAAGTGCTGCGAGATAAGAGAGGGAACATTTTTGGGTCAGCTTGGACACCAAAGAAAATGCGTTGTGCAACAAAAAAAGATGGTTATATACGCTATGCCAGCACGAATGAAACTTTACATTTCTCCTCGCTGTACGTGTCTAGAGATTTGCATTTCTGTGAGCCAGAATCAGTTTTCCACCAGGAGAAACCAAAGCCGTGCTAGCAATGTGGTTTCACAAGAGAGACAATTTTCTTTGTGTGCAGTTGATATGTGATATCACCTTTGCCTCCCACCTCTGGACTGACAGGGAACACAGCTCAAAGGTAGGAGAGCACCTGGGACCAAAGTTTCAAATATCCACCCTCAGGCTCCCTCCAGATCCCCTGGCGATGAGTCATCATACAAAAGAAAGGAATTCTTCTTTACTTAATCACACAGGAAAACATTATTCAAAGCTAATGCTTGCTTTATATTTAACCAGGGAATTAATTAGGGAATGGTGATTAAGAAAGGAGAGGTCTAATGGAAAGAATACATCCTCCCCTCTGAAAATACTTAAGTAAAATAAAGTGGGGGAGAATTATAGTCTTATTCCTTCTCACAACCACTACAACTTACATCCTGAAAAATACTTAGCTTTGTAGTTTGTACCCAATAAATCAATGAATCAGCTCTTTAAGGAAATGAGGAATGGAGCAGAAAAAAAATCCCAACACACACAGTTACAGAGCTCAGGCTGAGGTGGCAACAGATGCTGCAGCACTATGAGAGGCATAAAGGATGATTTTGTCCAGTTTAGCAACAGATTTTAAAATTCACCGCCGCTGAAGCTTCACATATTAAGAGGCAATTGCTCTGAACCAGTGGTTTGTTTCTCACTTTTTTTTTCCAAAAGTCAAGTAACAGCATGTGCTTTAGATACTCCCGTCAGCCACAGGGAACAAACTATGGAGGATTCTGGTTCCTTCTCTGACTGGCCCCACATCTCCGGGCAAGGGGAAGCAATCCTCCAGCACCACAATGGCAGACACTTGTCGCATTTATTCACCTCCCTTCACAGAATCTGCTGCTCTGGGGCTGCTTGGCAAGCTTTAGCTAGCAATCTGCATGTGGTGCATGTTTCTTAATACCTGCTTTAAAATTACCGCATAGACGTGTCATCATCCTCACCCTGCTTTCAGTTTCTGTCATGCACCTGAAACACATCTGAATGGAGCTACAAGTGTGTAAAATCCCATCAAGCTCCTTCCGAATAGCGGTCTGTGCCGTAACTGAGATGAGCTCTGCCCTCTCCCTCATTCAGAGACGCTCACAGCGTATAACCAGCAGATGTAATTTTGTAAAATGTGACAGTGCTTTTATTCATTCAAGAAAGGCCCGTGGCCGAGATCACATATCAACTGTGTTTCCTCTTGGCTCCTAGGGAGACAATTTAGTCTAGATGCCAGGTTGAAATTACTGGCAGAGCAGTAATGGGGAACTCACAGCATGGATATCAATATACGACAATATTTGGCTTATGGACAAAAGATGCTAAGGTTTCTAACCTTTTCTGTGCATAATAATATCTTAATTATATATTTTATTTCAATAAAAAATTCAATTTCACAGTAGGAAACATTCATTCCTATTTCCACAACAAAACGTTTCTCATCTTAATTTGTTACCGGTAACTGCTATTTATTGACTAACCTTTAATTTCTTTGCTTCTGAAATAGCGTGCTTGCTTTACTCCGGGGTAAATAAGAAATGCTACCCTGACAGCACTCAAAACAGATACAACTCCAGAGTACAACACAAGTAATAATGGCAAGAGCTTCCTACTACGCTGCTGCCATCATCTAGAGAAAGAGGCCAAATTAAATCAGTTGTGTGAATACTGTAAGACTGAAATTGATTTAATTCCTGTAGGAGAGGATGTGGGCGCTCAGCCTCTGGTACTTTTTAATCTAATGTTTCTTTACTAAGGCTACAGCAGCAGTGCTAATTAGGATGAAATGTAATGCAGCTTCATGAGAAAAAATTACAATAGTCACCATGCGGAGGCCAAGTTGGACAAGACATTTCAATAAGAGGGACTTGAGTATTTAAATACTTAAGGGCTTGTCTACAACAAGGGGTTCTAGCTCAAACTGAGCTCCAATGTATTAACTGTTATACATTACATGAATACAATTGCTATGTCTACACGACTAGATGCCTCCTACTGCAGTCCTAATAATTGCTTCCACAGAGCAAGGACTTTCTTCAAATTAAGTGCTCGACATTCTGCACTGGCATCCCAGTGTCATTTCTGCTACAACCAAGCCACATCCAAGGGAAGCACTTTTCTTCCAGCACAGAATACAGCAGACAAAAGTAACATCAAACACAAATTGAGCTTTCTCTAATTTCCCTGCATCACCTCATGAAAGCAGACTATCTAATATTCGTGTTTGAGAGCCATTCCTTTACACAACTTTCATTACTGAATCTTCACAAAGAACACGTGGGCTTTTAAAAAAAGTCTTTGTTTTTTTACTGAAATTTAAAGTAGAATCTCCTGAGCTGCCTGCCTTTGTCCCCTTGACATTGGTAGGAGTTACCTGTTCACAGCCTCTCTTTCTGACCTTATCCCTCTTATTTGCCAGAAACTGGGCAGCTGCCCTGGGTCTTGGCTTTGAGCACCGCACCGGCACAACTGTATTTCCCATAGTAGCCAAGAAAATGATATGCAGTTATTTCTCTTTGCCTGGTCTTTGTGGACCAAAAATAATTAGCTTGACTTGCACTTTGAAAGACTATACCTACAGCACCTTGGCTGTAGCACCAAGATCAAAGAAAGCCCTGCAGCTCCAAAAACCTAAGTGCCAAAATTCCATGTCTGATAAGTAGAAACTTGAATCCTTGCTTCAACAGGAGAAGGCCCCTCTCCGGCCACTCAGAGGACCTGACCCAAAACTCAGCCAAACTGTGGTCTGTTATTGGTGCCTCAGTTTATTATTTTTGAAGTAGGGCCCAAGTTTTTGGTTTTCAGCCTCCTTCATTTTTATCAAAATACTACAGTAAGATGAGTTCCTCTGTGCAGCAGGCATTCTTGCCTCAAAAGTAGTATAGTGAGCACCTTTGCTAGATTGTTTGTCTTACAGTGGGTGATTGCCTCATGAACTGAAGTGGCAGGTGAGTGGGCAGAGAGAAAATTGCTTGTTTAAGAGCAGGCCTGACAGCACTGCTCTGCTGTGATTCACGAGGGTGAATGTCAGAGGGACTCTGCAGAGGTAAAGCAGAGGGTTAACAAGGTAAAGCTGCCTATGCTAGAATGAGCTCCGCTGCGTAGAGTTGAAGCACAGTTTGGGACTTTTCAAACTTTAAGTTCCCATGTGTATTTTCAAAAAGTTCACTAAAATGTAAATATGTATTTGTAATAACTTTGTGGAACATCACAGATTAATAATGTTCTGGTTTCCTTGGCGCTTTACTACCTCTGTGACTTGACATGTCCAACTTAAAGAAAGTATTTATTGCCTAAAGCCTATGCTTTCTGCCAGACAAACCCCCCCCCCCATTTCGACAGCATGCTATGAGTATCTTTTAACAAGCAACACCAAAAAGCCAAGTACATCATGGCATTGTGAAGTGCCATTACCAACACTGTGGCACAGCACTATGAAAGCTAAGTTTCAGCTAAACCACAAACTAATTTCAATGAGTATCAATTGCTTGAATAATGAATAATTTATTTTCACAACAAGATTTTATGATTCGAATCTAGTGGGTGGTGAAGAGGCGTGGTGGGGAATGTACATTTATCGCTTGGAGCACATGGTTGAGATGCTACAATAGCAGGGAACACACAGGACCTCTGCCAGGATATGGGAAGATGGGAGAGAGCTCGGTGTGGTTCGACATAAGGTGTTTTTCATTTCCCTTGTTTGGCTGGCGATGTGCATTTTGTAGCCCTTACTCCCCCTAGGTACGGCTGGCATTTGGAGATGAATTACAGTTGTCAAGATGGAATATGAAACGGCAGAGAATGCATGGTCCTAGATGAACTTAAAGAAAGCCTTTCAATTCTTTCAGTGTCAGAAAAGGATACTTAACCATGAGTTGCACATACTCCAAACCCATTGCAATCATTATTTTCATTGTACAAGCAGAGGGATTCAAAACTGGAAGCCCTTCAAAGCTCATCCACAGAAACTTAACACCAGGTGTGCCCAACAGCACCACTTCCAACTGTGGCCCACTCCGCACAGCACCTCAGTACAGCACTACCAGCCAGTACTCCCCTACCCCCTTTACATTAAATCATCTCCACGCAGACACTGATTGTGGTATGCAACCACAAATAGCACCATCTGCGCCCGCAGTTCAACAGGAGGACAACCTGTAGAGCTCAAGGACAGCGGGAGGGACCTAAGTGCACTATCTATCCATCCTTACGTCCAGCA